TATCTTACGGTATCTTATGTAGGGGTACGTGCAAAACCTTTTGTTTTGAGGGCCCCGGGGATACCTATCTTACGCTATCCGACGGTGGCCCTAACTACCACCCTGAACGTAAATAGATTGCACAAGTGTGGTACTGACCACACACCGTTTGCACAAGTGCGGCACTGAACACAAACAGTTTGCACATGTGTGGCACTGAACACAAACATTTGCACAAGTGTGCCTCTGTGTATTGTTTGTTTTTGAGCACATAGTCTGAACATTCTGGCTTGTGCCAGTCTGCATGCACATCAATTTGTTCGACCCAAAACAGGTGTTCAAAAACAAACACAAGTACATACATCATTTCGTGCAGTTGGGTCCTGTTGCACGTTCAATTTACACGCGACAGCCCAGCCCTAATCAAGGCTGAAAAAAGCTATAGCGCCACATCGCCATCAGGCGTGTGAGATGTTCTCACGACGCACACGCTGACGTCGGGATTGAATATAATCCTCTAGCCAGCAAAAAACTTCTTCCAACTTGGCATCCTCCCAAAGGTCGGGATGGAAGTTGACTGCCGGATCAGTTGTCCTGTGCCCAGCCTTTTGCGGCACATAGTGGGCCCAGTTATCCCTCACCTGAGGCGGTCACACTCAAACACTTCACTGCGTGCACAACAAAACAGGAAACCCCAACACACACACACACACACACACACACACACGCGCGCGCGAAGTTGGTCAACCATCAATACGGCGCAAACAACACAACAGGAACCCATAACACATACACGTACGAGTTGGTCAAACATCAAATATATATTCGATCGTATAGATCAATTGAACAAGTCATATATGGCTATAATTTTAATGGATATGTATATGGCTTTGGATATGAGATCCCAACGGCGAGAGATGGCAGTGAAAACCACAATAAAATGTGGACTGGCCTTCTGCAAGGACTTGTTGACTCTCATCGAGGAGATCCGCATCGAGCTTAACTATTGGTCACGTGAAACAGTACCACAGTCAAGGGCGCTGCAAACCCCTTTGGGTGGTGAAGACAACCTACCAGACCAAGGAGCTCATGAATCAGAGTCTTTCGAGCACCGTCAACCCAAAAGACATATCGATTATTGGGTGGCCAGTTCTGATGGACACTGCGGAGCTATCGACAACCGACGACCACATGCTACTACAACATGCAGTTGAGGTGCTGCACGTGCGAACTTCATGCTATATACTTGACTTCCTTTCAAGTGCATGCTTCCTTTGAATCTCCGCTGTCCTTTCTTGTCGACATAGGCGACCGTCAAATTGGATTTGGCATATTTTGCCCGAAGCAGCTTCCTGTAGAAAACGTGTTTCAGGTTTATATGAATTATACTATAGCGCTAGCTAGCTAGCTATATATAATTTACAACTGGCAATACAATGAGCTGCATTCCTCTTCAAGTGAAGAATGAAGGG